AAATGATGAATCCTGTGTACCCTTCACCTATTATCCCACAGTGGTGACATCTTGTATAGCTTTAGTACTAACCTATAGTGATAATTCACATTTGACCTGTCTTATGGCATTCGTTTGTGTGTGTTTGTGTTACCATGTGTGGATTCATGTGACCCCCTCCTACTGCAGTGAGGTTCCCATACAGTTCCATCAGTACGGTTTGTATCACTTTTTCTCCTTATTTATAGCCACAGCCCCTCCTCTCTCCTCTTTCCCTTGCATGCAGAAACCCCATCTCTGTAGTTCTATCACTTTGAGATTTATAGACAGTAGTCCTGTTGGGGGATATGTTTCAAGACTCACAATACATACCTAAGACTCTAGATTGTGTACAGCCCTAAATATACAGTTTTTTGTGCATGTAAATAATATTTGGGCCCAACAAGATGACTCAGCACTTGCCTTGAAAGCCTGACAACCTGAGTTTAATCCCCACAACTCACATAAAGGTGGAAAGAGAGTAAAGGTAGAAGGAGAGAACTGACTCAGTTATTCTCCAACCTCCAGATGACAATGCATGTGCACCCATATGTACATTACACATACACAATAATAATAAATAAAATTTAACTCGTGGGGCCAGAGAGATGGCTCAGCAGTTAAGAGCACTGACTGCTCTTGCAGAGGACTCAAGTTTGAGTCCCAACACCCACATCGCGGCTACAAACCATCCTTAACTCCAGTTCCAGGGGAATCCAAAGCCCTCCGTGGCATTGCATGATACGGATGCACTCACATGCAGGCAATACACTCATACACACAAGTTAAACCCAGTAATTAACAATATGTCATGGTCTAGAGTAATTATAAGAACATACTATAATAAAAGTTACATGAATGCAGCCTTTTCTTAGTATCTTACTGTACCATACTCTTCCTGTGATGACATGAGATGATACAGCACCTAGGTAGTGAGGCGAAGTTAGATGAATGATGTAGGTCTTGCGACATAGCATTAGGCTTCTGCATATGGACTACTTGAGATACAAATGCTGCAATACCACAGCTGTTCTGTCAGCGTCAGTGCCTAATGGGTGGGTTATGTCTACAGATTGAATACACTGAACAAAGGCATGATTCACATGCTGGGCAGAATGGAACAGGGTTAGACAAGGTCTTATGCTGTTTAGAATCATACTAAATTTAAAAATTTGGAATTATTTGTTTCTGGAATTTTAATATTTTTTGGACTAAGGTTGATTGTAACTGAAACCATGGAAACTGAAATCACTGAAAAGGGAGACTACTATAAATGGAATTATGCAGTATGCTATTCTTTTTATTTGGCATAATTTGAGTTCCATTGATGGTGATCCATCCAGATTGTTCTTTCTATTGCTAAGTCATATTCCTGAGTCTCAGTCTTTAATTGGGATTGCTCAGTCCATTTTTATTTAACATAATTACTGATATAGTTGAGTTTAAATTAGCAATCTTGCATAAGGGTCTACAAATTATTGCTCAGGGACCAAATTATACCCACCAGATATTTCTTGGACTTTTATTGGCGTATAGCTGTGCTCGTTAATTTGTTCTTGTTCATGTTTGCTATTTTGCTACAATGGCAGAATTGAGTAGTTGTGATAGAGACTATAGGCCCACAAAGCCAAAATTATTTATTCTTTGATCCTTTGCAGGAAAAGGTTTTGATGGTGCTGCTTACTATTTGTCTCTCTGTTCTTTGTTGATTTTTGGTTTTGGTTTTCTAAAGATTTCTTTATGGGGGTGCTGAAGAAATTCAGTGGTTAAGAGCACTTGCTGCTCTTTCAAAGGACCCAAGTTTGGTTCCCAGCACCCCTCATGGCCCCTAACAACTGTCTGTAACTGTCCAGTTCCAAAGGATACAATGCCTTCTTCTGGTCTCAGCAGGCATTGCATGTGTGCGGGCAAGATAAAATTCTTTAAAAAAGAGAGATTTATTTATTTTTATTTTTATGTGTGTGTTTTGCCTGCATGAATGTATATGTATTGCATGTATGACTGGTGCTTGCTGAGGGCCAGAAGAGGGTATCAGATACCCTGGAACTGGAGTTACAGATGGTTATGATCCACCATGTGGGTGGTGGGAACCAAACCTGGGTCCCCTGCATGTGCTCTTAACCAGTGCATCATCTCTCCAGCCTGTTTATTTTTTCATTATTATTATTTATTTATGTGTATGAGTGTTTTTGCCTGCATACATGTAAGTGCACCCATGAGTGCAATACCTACAAAGGCCAGAAGAAAGCATCAGATCCCCTGGAACTGGAGTTACAGAGTTGTTAGCTGCCGTGTGGGTGCTAGGAACCAAACCTGATTCCTCAGAGCCATCTCTCCAGCCCCTCCCTATTTATTTTTAAGATAGGTTCTCAAACTGCAGCTTAGGCTGAGCTTCAGTGCACTGTATAGCCCAGGCTGCCCTCAAACTCTCTAGTTCTAGGATTACAGGTGTACATCACCATGCCAGCCTGGCTCTTTGTTGATTTTGAAGCAAGAATGTAAACTTAAAAGAGTTATGGGGAGCTGTGGAGATGGCTTGGTTGGTAAAGTGCTTGCTGCACAAGCATGAGGACCTGAGCTCTGATTCCCAGCACCCATGTAAGAGCCAGGTGCTGTGGTATGTGTTTTGTAACCCTAACACTGGGGACAGAGTCTAGCAGAAACAGCAAACTTAAGGTTCATTGAGAACTCCTGTCTCAAAAAGGTGGAGGACACTAGATACCCAATGTAGACCTCTAGTCTCACATGCACACACATGAAGTGACCCCTCCCCCAGAGTTGGTATGATTGTTAATACCTATTAGAATATTTATGAATGCTTCCCTCAGATTAAAACTTTATACCTGACAGAAACTTTCTGTGTTAGCTTTCTGTCAGTATGAACAAAATATCTGAAACAATCAAATTTAAGGAGGAAATGTTTATTTTGGCTCATGGTTTTGGAGATTTCAGGCCCTAGTTGTTTAGCCCTGTAGTCTTTGGTCTGTGTGAGGCAGTGCATCATGGTAGAAGGTTGTAGCAGAGGAAATGCTCACATCCTAGTGATCAGGAAACAAAGGGGAAAGGGCTGGGGTCCCAATACTCAGGGAAAGATCATATTTAGGGGCACACCCTCACTGACCTCACTCCCTCCTACTAGGCTTCACCTGTTTTAAAGATTCCATCACCTCCCAATCATGCCACAGCCTATCAACCTGACTCTTTAAACTCATGGGCTTTGGGTAGCATTTAAGATCCAAACTTTAGCAATGCCTATTGTGTATAACAAATCACACAAAGTTAGTATAATTTGTTATTCACACACTTCTCCTATCTTACAGTTTCTGATAGGGTCAGAAGTCTGGCTGTGGCTTAGTTGGGCCCTATATTTAGATCTCTCATGGTCAGACTGCATTCTCACATGCCTCCACTATGGAAAATTCTGCTTCTACAATCATTGACAGAATTGATTCCTTCTATCTACATGACTGAGTATCCCAGCTTTTTATTGTCAAGTAGAGGCCTCCCTCAGGTCCTCAAGGTTGCCTGTACTTCTCTTACATGGGTGTCAACATGGTAATTTCAGTACCTTCAGGGAACCTCTTTCTTCAGTCTTCTCACACGGTTAAATATAGTGCAACATGAGCAGGGCGTCCCATCACCTTCTCTTGTTCTGCTGTTTGGAGGTTAGTCACAGATTCTTTCCACATGCAAGAGAATTCTGTAAACACATGATTTGTTTAGGGGTTACTGTCATGTGTCTGGCACAGAAACTTTAAGAATATATTAGCAATCTTACACCAACCATTTTAGTTCTGTCAAAAGCTGATAGAGATGAGATTAATAGTAAAGCGCTAAATAGAGCTAAAGTTCTGGTTAAGATGTTTATAGTTTTCAAAAACTGCATAATATTCTAATCCAAGTATTTGCAATGTTGTATTTTCATAAGTCCTTTTAAAATCTATTACTCATTTCATGTAATTCTCAAAGTAGTCCTATGAGTGGACTGGTTGTTCCTATTTATAGGTGAAGAAACTGAGGGTTAATAAAGCCTTCAAAAAAGATCACAGCTAGTAAGTGATAGAATAGGTGGTTTAATTTAAAGTCCTTTGTTTCTGTCACCAAAGCAGAATTGTAATGCATATCTATTGATGATACAGATATTCATCAAATATGCTTGATAATGAAGTTAGTATGATTTTGTATATAAATAAGTCGTATGTGAAAATGCAGATAAAATGAGGTCCTTATGCTGCAGTAGAGCAGTATATCTCTGTTTATATCTCTAGTTGTAGATCTTTGATTCTCAGAATATTCCTGTAAATGATCTGTCCATTTCCCAGAAGAGATAGCTAAGGTGCAAGCAGGTTGTCACTGGCCTGGGATTATACAGTTTTAAGGTATAAGTGATAGAATCACTATCTGACATCAGAATCCAAGAAGAACCTATAAAAATAATCTTCAGCTTTTTTGCCTTGAATCCTCAAAGTTTCTAAACTTAAAAATTTTAGTTCATAGCTTCTGTTTTTGACATAGTACATTCCATATTTCAAAAGTTGTATCCTTTAATTGTTTATATTGGATTTTACTGGTATAAAATGGGTAGATGAAGTAAATTATGTGACATTTAGTATAAAAGCTGCAAAGTTTTTCCCGTAATGGTTACAATTACATATATAACATTATAATTACTAATGATAGATTTTGTTTTTCTTTAGGTTTCTTTCTGTGTTTTGTTGCTTTTTAAAAATATAAGCAAACAAGCCAGGCATGGTGGCACACGCCTTTAATCCCAGCACTTGGGAGGCAGAGGCAGGCGGATCTTTGTGAGTTTGAGGCCAGCCTGGTCTACGTAGTTAGTTCCAGGACAGCTGGGACTACAGGGAGACCCTGTCTTAAAAAGACCTATATATATATATATGCAAACTAATAACAATTGAGGGAGTTTTGAAAACAAGTTTAGTGACTGCATCTACTTTCCATCTTCTCATGGAATGATCCAGAAGAGAGCTGTTTTGAAAGAAGAGTGTTACCAATGGCTTCGGACTCCATAAACGGAAAACAAGGGCGGAATCAGTTCTCCAAGGGGAAAAGGCACCAGCAACAGACAAAGCCCAGACCCTCAGTGAGTGACTGTGATGGAGAAGACTCCTTTATCTTTGAAGCAAATGAAGCCTGGAAGGATTTCCATAGCTCTCTTCTTCGATTTTATGAAAATGGAGAACTCTGTGATGTCACACTGAAGGTGAGATTGCTTTTTTCCCCCAAACCTCTTTAGTATATTATGAAAAATGAGGATTTCTCTACTTACAGAGTCAAAAATTTTTGGTGTCATATTTACTTGTTACAGTAAGGATGATTTTAATTTCAATTATTTATGAGTCAGTGTCTTTGCTATGTGGCCCAAGCTGACCTTGAACTATGATCTTCCTGCCTCAAGTTTCTGAGTGCCCGGATGATAGGTATGTGCCACTAGCATGTGTGGCTCAATCCTTTTTTACTGAAAAAAAAAAAAAAAGGATATAGGGAATTTAAATGAAGAAAGATTAGCATAAAATAAAATGTATAAAATGGTTATACTAATTTAGGGTTGATAGTCTTTAATTCTTCTGGAGTTCTGGAACTCTAAACAAATTATCAATATTATCAGCATTGTCATCATTATTTGTGTGTGTGTGTGTGTGTGTGTGTGTGTGTGTGTGTTTGAATGTGTATGTTTTCATGTGTGTAGGTACACATATGCAGCAAAGCATGTGCATGTGCATATGTGCATAATTGGAGGCCAGAGATTGATGTCAGGTGTTATCCTCAATCCTCTGCCTCATTTACTGAATCATATTTAAGGGAAGTTGGTGATGTTAACAATAGGTTGAAATGAAACTTTCAGGAGAATTTGTAAGTGCAATATATGTGATACAGTGAGAATTGTTTAGAAATAAAAACACCTTACTAGGAACTGACCGTCACTTTTATTTCCTCAACTGCAGAATTAGGATGCTAACCAGGTTTCTGTAGGTGAATGCATTAATATATTTAAAGTTCTTACAGCACTGCTCGGCACATATAAAATACCAGCTATTGTCGTAATAGTACTGTGAACACTCCAAGACTAACAGATAATTTGCTGTGGCACATTGTTCCTGTTCAGTAGAAAGAATTCAGTTAATCATTCAGCAGGTCTGGTACTGGGTTTGTTTCTTGGTCTAATTTGATATTTCTTCTACTTTCAGAATTCTCTAAACAGCTAAAAGAGGAATATGGATAATTTATGATGCTCTGTTCACTTTTTAAATTCATATTAGTTTGTGAGGATCATTTTTTGATGTAAAGTCATCTTTTTATTAATGTATTTCCTTTGATTATCATTCATTTAGGAAAAACATTGATGAAAGCCAAATACCATACCATTTGTTATATTGTTCATGTTATAAGGCCTAGTTTGGAAACAGCAAATAAATTCATTTAGGAAATATTTACTAGTCTTACTTAGTAGGCAGAGAGACTGAATAAATTTGAACAATATACTATTTTTGCCGAGAAGGAACTTGAAGTTTAGCCAGAGAACCACATTAACATAATTTAGTGATTGTCATTTGGAGGTATCTTTATGGAATCTTAGAGGAGGATCTATTAGTGATGTCTGAAAGGTAATTAGACCTTACATTAGAGTAAGTATATAGGGGCTAGAGAGATGGCTCAGCAGTTAAGAGCACTGGCTGCTCTTGAAAAAGACCCCGGTTTTGTTCCCAGCACCCACATGGCAGCTAATAAACATCCTTAACTCCACTTCCAGATGATCTGATGCTCTCTTCTGGCCTCTGTAGGCACCAGGCACACTTATGATGAACTTACATACATGCAGGCAAAACACTCATATACATAAAATAAAAATATTTTTTAAAAAAGAATAAATGAGGAGCTAGAGAGATGGCTCAATGGTTAAAGAGCACTGCCTGCTCTTTCAGAGGACCTGGGTTCAATTCCCAGCACTCACATGGCGGCTAACAACCATCGGAAACTCCGATTCCAGGGGATCTGATGCCCTCTTTGGACCTCCGTGAGCATGGCATGACACGGGTGCACCTACCTATATGCAGGCAAATATACATAAAAAAAAATAATTTTTTAAAAAAGAGTGAATTTATTGCCTCCAGGTCATTCCAAGAAAAGAAAAAACTTGTTTATGTACTATTACATTTACTTGTGAAAATATTTTATTTTATTTATTTATGTTGGTCTTAGACCCACAGCTGTATCCCCAGCTGGACTGGAACCTGCTATGTAGACTGGGCTGGTTTTGAACTCACAGATAGTGAAAATATTTTAAAATAACAGATCCAGTATTGGCACTACAATTATATATAGGATAAACATTGTTTAGAAAATTTTTATTTGGGTGCTAGTGACTTAACTGTGAATATCACTGTTCTAGTTTGCTTCTCTGCTGCAATTGTAAACCTTGACCAAAAGCAACTTGGATAGGAAACAATTTATTCCGCTTACAGGTTTGTCATCAAGGACAGCCAAGGCAGGAAGTCAAGGCAGAAACCCAGAAGCAGGTTCTGAAGCAGAGACCATGGAGAAATACTGCTTACTAGCTTGCTTGCCCTGCCTTACTCAGCTATTTTACTTACACAGTCCAGGCCCACCTGCCCAGGGATGGCACTGCCCACAGTGAGTTGAACCCTTGTACATCAATTAGGAGTTAAGAAAATGCCCCACAGACATGTGCACAGGCCATTTTAATGGAGGAGATTCCTCAATTGAGATTCCCTCTTCCCAGGTGTATCAAGTTGACAGCTGACTCTAGCTATGACAATCACCCCTGCTAAGCACATACAGCACCTATGATGTTCAACCTCAGCTCTCCCAGTGGAGGCTTCTTTAAGGCACCAGTTTTATTGAGGAAACAGCAGGAAGAATTTCTCTTGAAGAGACATTTCATAGTTCCCATTTCTTAGATTTTATGTTGCAGATCAGTAAGAATAGCATTTCATAGATGCCATATTATACATATTATATACCTTGAGGAAATGCCATTCCCCTTATCAAAAATTAAAGTTAATTTTACTTGATAAGAGTAATAGAGACTAATCGAGGGGGAGAGCCCCTGTAGCAGCTCTTAATGTCACCCGAATATATGTTATTTGGCTTTTGGGGGGGAATATGTCAGTGATTTTTTAAGCCAATGTTTGTAGGATCTATTACATTTTTCTAAGGTTTTAAGTATTGTAATTATTTCCTGTCAAAATTTCCAACCGACAAGGTAAGAATTATTCTAAAAGAGTCTTCTAGGGAAACAGAGTATATTAACTGCATTATAATAATATACTCCAAAAAGCTAGAAATGACACAATTATTGCACTGTAACTATTAATTCCTGACTTGAAATCAGACTTAGTTCATTTGTGCTGCTGTAACAGTACCATAGACAAGGTAATGTAGAAATAATAGTTATTCCTTATAGTTCTTAGGCAGAGGAATTCAAGATCAAGACACAAGCAAGTTTGATATCTGGTCAGGACTGTTCCCTCTACTTCTAAGATGGCACCTTGCTGCTGCATCCTCCACAGAGGATGATTATATGAGGAGGAGCTGTGTCTCACCTGGTGAAAGCAGAGAGTAAAAAGGGCCTAAACTAGTTCTGGCCAGCCCTGTTATAAGCCACTGATTTCATGAGCTCACAATGCTCATAACTTCATCACTTCCCCAAAGCACATAGGGATCTGGGGGCAACTTTCAGACAATAGTCCAGATGTGATCTAATGAAAAAGAAATGATAATGGAGAAGGTGCTGCCATATCAACACCTGACCATTCTGCGTTAAGATGTCTTCAGTGTTCTATGATAAATGAGGATCACTTTTACTTTCTTCATTCAGCTAGTAGCTTAGGTTTTTTAACTTTCTTGTGTTGCTCAGAATGGATATTTAAATATTTATATTCTGTTGTGTATTCTACTTCCCAATGCTATGTGAATTGTTTCCATTATGTAAATTTTGGAATGAGCCATTGTAAGGTTAGTTATGCTTGTAGAACAGTGGCTAGGTATTGTGATATGGTAGTTTAGTGCGGATTAAGATACTATTTTGAGATTGATACATCTGTCTAACCTCTTCCGATTTATTTCTTGACAATAAAACACTTATTTTGGCCACTCACAATAATTTAAAGTGGTTGATTATGGAAAAAAGTAGCCAATTTAAAAGAGCAAAACCATGAGGTTAAATTGAAAACTTAGAATATAGCTTATAAAATTTATAAAAAATATATAGAGATTGATTTTATTCTTTTGTGCACAAAGGAATAGTTACAGAATAACCACATTATTGAAAAGTATTAGCAAAGGAGTGAAACAAATCAATGAAAGTTTGTGTACTTTTCAACATACTGAATATTTAAAACATTTACTGCTTTTGAAATTTTGATAAGGTGCATAATCTCAAACTTTGCTACTGGATATGTAAATTATTTCCATAGTTTTGACAGGCAGCTTGACAATATATCAGAGCACTTGGGAGGAAGAGGCAGGTGGATCTTTGTGAGTTCAAGGCCAGCCTGGTCTTCATAGTGAGTTCCAGGACAGCTGGGGCTACAAGGAGACCCTGTCTCAAAAAGACAAAAAAAAAAAAAAAAAAAAAAAAAAAAGTGCCCCTCCAAATCCCTCCCAGAATTTAAAGAAACACATTTTTCCTGAAAGAGAACCTTCAGATTTAAAATATGAAAAAAATTATTTGGGTGTATAAGTCACTTTTCTTTTGCTGTGATAGAAACACCATGACCAAGGGAATTTATAAAAGAAAGGGTTTATTTAGCTTATGGTTCCAGAGAGGCAAGAGTCCATCATGGTGGGGAGGCATGGCAGCAGTGGTGGCTGGAGTAGGAGCAGAAGCTAAGGTTTCGTACATTCAAGCAGGCACAGGAAACAGAGCAACTCGAGATCCAGGAAGGCTTAAGAACTCGCTAAGCCTGCCCCCAGTGACGTGCTTCCTCCAGGATAGCCACACCTTCTAAGACCTCCCAAAACAGCGCCACCAACTGGGAACAAAATGTCTGAATACTTGGAACCTATGGGGGACATTCTTATTCAAACCATCACACTGGGTGTGTCTTTAATCCCAGCACTAGGGAGGCAGAGGCAGGTGGATCCCTGTGAGATTGAGGCCAACCTGATTCCAGCCTAGCTGGGTCTATAGGGACACCTTGTCTAAAAAAAACTTAAAACAAATCTAAAGAGATAGCCAATATCAGATGATAAAATAAGTTTTATAGCTACTGTATTGAATAGCATTCACTTAATAACTAGAAAGATCACAAAGGTTTCAGAAACTGAAAAATACACTTTTCAGGAAAATAGTAGTTCGGCTTCAAATTACATAGAAAAATGTTTGGCGCAAATACAAATTGATAGTAGTTGAAGAAAAAAAAAACAAGTGGCCTTGATTATAGGCAATAGACAATCTACTTTTAAGTAAGTGCTGACAGTAAATGGAATTGTTAACGCTCTTTGTATATAAGCTCTGGCTCTTTTCCCCTCATAATTTGGCAGATCACTGTTTTAAAAGGAGTTCTGCACAGTGAGTGGGCCTAACTGTTGAATCAGCAATAAAATGAAGACTGCTGAACTTCCCCTCTGACCTTTCTCCACATCTCCATGGTGAAAGTAAAGTGTTATACTAACCCCAAAGCCTTTATTTTGCTGTACTTTGAACCATAGTGGCCAATCTATTAAAAATTATACAGCGTTTTGGTTAATAGTTTGTATTTCAAACATTTTAGCAACTAAGGAATCATTTTAGTAATGTTGATATTCTAAATATTTTACTAACATTTAATCTTGGCATTAGTTTTCTCTTAGTATCTTGACTTATTTATATGTTCATTCATTGAAAAAAAAATTGTAATCTACAAAATTTACTAGTGTCAAGGACATATGTATGTACCATAGTACTTATTTCTATGACTAAATCATAGTAATACCTGATATTCTATAGTTTGTATATTTTTTCTCCAGTTTGAAGCCTCAAGTTTATATATTTCCAATTTCTGATTAAATGTTTTTGGTAATTGATAATTATTTTTGTGTACCAGAAAGGAGACTGCAGAGATAAAATTTACAGAATGTAATAAAAATATATAGTTTCAAAGAATTGGTACATTTAAAAGCCAGATTTTTGTATATTTCATATATATATGCCAAAGATCTTTTGACCTTAGGATAAATTATTATTCTCAAAGAGTAAGTACATTGAGGTATGTGTGAGTGGTGGGGGAATAACCACATTTTAGGGTTTTTAAAATCAGATTGAAAGAGAGTTGTGGAAAGACAAAAGCTTATTAAAATCAACATGAAAATAATTTGGATGACTATTGATTTTTACTGCTTTGTTGGGGGCTCAGTATTAAAATAGTGATTCTCGGGAGCTGGAGCAATGGCTCAGCAATTAAGAACACTGGCTATTCTTGCAGAACACCTGGGTTCAAATCCCAGGACCCACATGGCAGCTAACAACAGTTATTAACTCCAGTTCCAGGGTATCCAATAGCCTCTTCTGTCCTCCACGGGCATTGCACAACATGGATGCACATACCTACATGCAGGCAATACATGCATACACATAAAATAAAAAATAATAAATGAAATATTTATAAAATAGTGATTCTCTGGGAATCACAAGACCCTATTTTATGGTACTATTATGTAATAGAGTGTTGTTGAGGTTTTTTTTGTGGGGGTGGGGGAGCAGTGCTGTGCTGGGAATTGAATTTAGGGCCTCACACATGCTAGGCAAGCACTCTACCACTGACCTGTATTTCTAGCCCTCAGATCATTTTTTTTGTTGTTGTTCTTAAAATTTTTTTTAATTATTTATTTAATAACCGCACAATCAGAAGATGCATTTCATTACAACAGCATTGACATATTCAATAACGTTTTCCTGAGGTAGGATGCATCTCTTTCAAATTTGGCTGTAAATTTTTAGGTTTACAATTGAATTAATACAGTTACACAATATTGTACTCAGTATAAACCCTATAAGACATAAAATTAAATGAGGTTTTAAACTTTAAAAAAGATCTCCACTTCACTATTAAAATACAGTTTCAAACAGAAAAATTCATTTTCAATACAGTTGACACTAAGATACACATGCATTTCTAATCTCTATATATCTGATTATTACTAGTCACAGTCGATTAATTTCTGAGCTCCTTGGCATCTGAGCATGGATATAAAGTCATCAGGTAGATTTCAATAATAATGTTTTTCACATCTACTAATTATTAAGGAGCAAATTTTTATGCTTTGAAGAATTGTTATTTTTTAAATTTTTTAAAAATTTAATAACCACATGATTAGAAGAAGCATTTCATTACAACTTTAACATATTCAG